GTTCCGGCCCCCCCCCCCCCCCCCCCAACGAACTTCAGGCGCAAACAAAAAGTGTGTCGCACAAGACGACAACATACTTTTATCAGGCCACACTGGCCATCAACATTCGGCCAGTCTAGTCTGAGCGACTAGGCACATAGTGTACACTGTGCCAGTCGGAGGGCCCAGACTGGCCATCACAACACCAGTCCCTCAACTGGCTTCCATTTTGTTTTTGTTTTTTTGAAGAAATGAAGATCCCCTATTGGCTGAGGATCCACCGCATATAATAGAGGAAAGCCTGGGTCCACAATACATGTGAGGCTCATTTGCCATCACATCGGGGCCCACATGGGGCCACGATCCTATGTCAGATGTGTCTGACAGGTACCGTGGCTCCAGACTGTCGAATGCGGTAACGCGCCGGTCAGTTGAATGTGGTTGATGCAGATACGGATTAAGTGAGTATAGGAAGAAAAAAGCATCTCGAAATCAAGTAGAGGGGCATTGCAAGGATTTCTTCCTCCCTGTGCAGATGAAATGACATTGTGCTGTTTTCCCGCAGCCCAGTGGTGCAAGGTGACTGCCCGTCGTTTGATGCCGATCGTGTGCACTGTGAAAACAAACCCATCCACATCCACATGCACGCATGAACAATGTGATCCGGACGTCCATGAACAACGATCTGCGGAAAGTGGCAAAAAACTGAACCCTTCTAGTCAAGGAATGAATCCAAACAATAATATGATGAAGCATAGATGAGCAAAAAGAAAGTGACGGGACTTTCTTTTTGGTTCCCACAAGGGAAGGGCTGGGTCCACGAGACATGTGAGAGACACATGCCATCGCATCGGGGCCCCATGACGGGGCCACCATATCATGTCAGATGACTCTGACAGGTATCGTGGCCCCAGACCATCTCATGCAGAAGCAGAGAGAAAGGACAACGTGCACTTTTTGTATGCGAGCACATAAGGATATGTTTGTGTGGACACCCGACGTTAGCATGGGTCCAAGACATATGCGCGGGGCAAGTTGGATTGAGCCCCCATCCCAAGACCACAACACCATGTCAGATGTCTCTAGCAAGCGATAGTTGTGGGAAAACACCCAATAAGCTCTTCAACGTCTGGCAGCTCCATTACTAGCGGGAAAAAAACAACGGGAAAAAAACAACTCTTGGTTGGTTTTGGGGTATGGGTTTGGTTCATCTTCCTCATGCATGACAGGCTGGGACCATAACCGGAGCAGGGCACATTTGCCGCTGCACCGTGGCCCAGTGGCGCAAGGTGGCCGCCCGTCGCACTAGGCCACGACGCAGTGTCAGATGAGACTAACACTGGTCATGGACCTAGACTGCCGTGCACGAGACGTCAGGGAAATGGATAAGGACGGCTTTATCAAAACGGCGTTACACGCTGGCGATCGCGGGGCATAAACTTTTATATAAACGATCAGATTGTTGAATCGGTGGATACGAGGGTGCGAGGTTCAAACCCAGCGCCACAATCAAGAAGCGAAGGGGAAAAAAAAACAGACCGCAGTCCATACATTGACCCACGCACCCGCAGTTCAGTCCACAGTCCACACACACCCCAGTCCGAAACCCCAGCCTCCAGTCCGAAACTTCTCATGAGCAAAACATTGAAAACCAAAATTGTCATTAACATGTAAAAAAGTGCTTGTAACAGTCCGTGACGGTGTGTGTGTGTGTCTGTGTGTGTCTGTGTGTGTCTGTGTGTGTGTCCGTGTTTGTCTCTGGCCTCTCCACGTCTCTGTCTCTGTCTCTGTCTCTGTCTCTGTCTCTGTCTCTGTCTCTGTCTCTGTCTCTGTCTCTGTCTCTGTCTCTGTCTCTGTCTCTGTCTCTGTCTCTGTCTCTGTCTCTGTCTCTGTCTCTGTCTCTGTCTCTGTCTCTGTCTCTGTCTCTGTCTCTGTCTCTGTCTCTGCCTCTGTCTCTGCCTCTGTCTCTGTCTCTGTCTCTGTCTCTGTCTCTGTCTCTGTCTCTGTCTCTGTCTCTGTCTCGTGGACATCAGAATGGGGCGCTCAGCGCCGAGAAGCCAGATAAGCAAAAGCTGAGTGACCCACAGAATCAATCTGTGTCTGTGTCTCTGACCGTGTCTGTGTCTGTACGCCTGTATGTCTGTGTCTGGCCATGCCCCCCGTCCCCGCCTCTCCAGTCTCCTTGTAGTCGATGTCGATGTTTGTGGAAGCGTTGGTCATGGAGCTTGTGTTGTTGATGTAGACGCTCATCTTTACTCAACTTGAACCTGAAGCTGGCGGCATAGGATGGCAGCCTTGCTCACTTTGAGCAGCAAAATAAATTGCCGTTAAGAACGAGAGTGAGATTTTGCGTTACGAGTGATGTCTGATTCCAAATTCGACTTCTTATTCCAAACAAACCAGCGAATCCATTCTCAAGGGGGCAAAAACGGCCAATAAAAAAATCTTTCACGGATGGCACAGCCAGGCGACGATTGCTTGTGGCTTTGAATACCACAAGTTGTACCAATCCATGAAGTGAGTTGCCATTTGTCTTAGGCGGGGAGGAGGGGGGGGTCGCCTTCAGGCATTTGGTGTTCAAGATTCCGAACAGCAGCCTTACTCCCCAAGGGCATTGGAGCCTGGAACACGAGAGTTCTCAGTGTTCTTGGGTGCGACCTAGCCATTTGGCTACTTCCCTCGCACCGTGTGGGCGCGTCAGGGGCATCACTGGGATATCTGGGTCAGCTCTCAAAGCGACCAAAGTGGCTACTTCCCTTGCGCTTCGTGGCGCACCAGGGGCATCAGTGGAATATAAGGGCCAGCTCTCAAAGCGGCCTAGCCATGCTCTTGCAGTGGCTACTTCCCTCGCGCTTCGTGGTCGCGATGTAGGGGCATGGGCAAGAATGACGTCTCAAGCAGAGCTCATCAAATGGTATCAGAAGAGTTGCATGAGGAGCTTCCAGCTCTTCTGACGTAAGAGGGTGGGCTTGCCTGACGTGAAGGTACGGCACCGATTGACCAGCACTGCACCCCACCGACCAGACATTCAATAAATTTACGTATAAAGTCTCTGCTCACTGACTTTTCTGTGCTTGAGTGGATGCATGCATCGGACTCACATTGACCAACTCCTTCCTTGGACGCGATACATTACACATTCTTCGATTGGTAGTCTGCAATGGCCAAAAAAAAAAATGCAAAAATGGTGGGGTAGTGAGCTAGTACAAGCCCCAAAGCTGGCAGACAGCTTGACTGCCAGCGTCTTTACAATGCTCTGTGCATCGTGTTGGGGAAAGTTAAAGTTCAAGATTTTTCATAATTTCAAGAAGGGAAAGTTAAAGGTTGTGCCGTGGCACGGTGTACCACCAATTGGTGGCACTCGGGACTTGTGGTCACCCGGCTCACTACTTCCACCAGCGTGATGGACGCATAAATTTACATATAAAGCGTGGATTCTCCATCGCTTTGATAAAAAGCGAGACAGCAGCCGAGTTGCTCTTCAATTTCCCCAAACGCGGCGGACTCGCATGTCAAACTGCAAAAGCAAGAGTCGGCAAGCTGTGAGCCATACTGCTTGACATGTAAATCCCATTCTGCAGTCTTTTCAATAATGTGACTTGACGTTATGGCTTTGCAATCTCAGATAGACGCGTGTGAATTGCATCGCTGCAAAGGACGGGCCGTCACCAGCAGGGTCAAAAATTTAGTACCAAACAAAGAAAAGTAAACAACAGGGCTCGCACTGGCAAGGGAATGCTTGTGAGCACGAGCGCAGACATCAAATGCAAGAATAGATGGGTTGTGGCAAAGCTACATGACCATGCCGGTCAGTCAACAGACAGGACTAAGCTTCACTACTCGCTTGCTCGGCCATGTATTCACGCTCCTCGGCCGTTGTCGTCCGTCCCAAAAGCTCGTTGCGCTCCGGGAATCGACCAAAACGCTCAATCAGCTGCCGATTGCTACAATGCGGACAGTCGCAGCAAAGGTTCCAAAAATTCAAAAATGAATGAGTCAAGTAGAAGCACAACCAAAGGCACGCACGCATGACAACGCCCACGCCAACACCAACCTTTCAAAAGTGGCCTTGTACTCGCGGATGGGATCATCGGGAGTAAAGTAGTCACAGGCACGCGTCCATTCTGACTCGGCTAGTTTTTGCATCTCCAGGTCCTCCTGGTGCGTCAACGCCATGCAAGGGAAGACGCGATACACGGGGTGCACTTCGTCCATGAGGTGTGAGTGGAAGAGCGCACGCAAGACAACGGCCTTGGCCATGTCATCGCCAGCAAACATGCGTTTGGAATTGGCGTGGATGGAGCGCGGGAACTGGTCGAGCAAAATAACCAAGGCCACCAGGCTTGCCGGTGTGCTCTCCCAGTGTGCCAAGCGGCCACTGATGGCCGCGTCAACAACGACAGAGAAGCGTTGTTGTACGGCCTCGGCACTACGATCGTCCTCTTCCGTTCCAGGCGCCTGCATCATAAAGTTGAGAATCTCCTCGATGCGGTCGTCAAAGGCCGTCGTGACCTCTGGTGACTGTTGGCGCATTTCAAACAGTCGATCCCGGATACGGCGTTGCATGAGCATGAGCACGTCGTGGCGCTCCTCGTCCGTCTGCTCGCCCCAGCCAGCGAGCTGGCTGATGAGCTGGTCCACAGCTTCGACCGCCTCGTCTTGATTGGAGATTTGGTACCAGGGGCGCGTGCCCTCAACGTGCACGTCCGACACACGCTTGAGCGGAGGAAGACTGGATTGTGGCTGTGCCTTGAGGCTGCGACGCCGGCGCTTCTGAGCCATATCAGGATCGGGGATGGCCTTGCCGTCCATGATGCCAGCACCCGTGCGGCCAAACGCGGCCAGGACCTTGCGATTGTTCTTGGGTCGAGCGACGATCTTGGGCAGGACGGGCCGTGTCTTTTGGGTCGGCTTGCGGCAGATGCGACCTCCAATCACCTGAAAGGGAGTGGGCTTGAACACGGAAAGATGCGACGCTACGTAGACCTCATCCTCTTTGAGATCGGATCCTTTTTCAATCTCCTCACCCTCCAGTGTAAAAATCTGGCAAAACAACACACCAAGGCGCGGAGAGGTCAGAAGAGAGAGAGACAGAGGATCGACGACCTCAACAACGAAGGAGCAAGGAGGTATCCAACAATATGCAAAGTGGGGAGAGGCGGGTAAAGTGGAGAGAGGCAGGTGTGACAGACCTTTTTCACATCATCCACCCAAAGAATGTTGCTGCATTTTTCGGTAAAGAGCTCCAGTACCCGCTCCCAATTGTCAAGATCTGCGGGGGGAATGACGATGCGTTGGGGCACACCATCTTCATCGCCAGCGGGGAGGGCCTGGATGACCTTGGCCCGAGCAATGTTCTGGGTGACACGGCTCTCCACGTGACTGTCATCGAAGCGGCTCTTGTTGAGGGTGGCGGAGCTGATCTTGGTAACGGCACGCTCCTTATACGAGGGAATTTTGAGATAGTTCAACCTTTTTAAACCTGCGCGGCCACAAGCAATAATGGGCATTCCGTCCTCAACCTGGTCGTAGCCAAGCAGGAAGCTGTAATCTTCGGCGTGGGCAAGGCGCATGATGGGACCAAACAAGGGTTGGATCTCGGCAGTCAGATAATCCATGAGGCGATCAAAGGTGGGAACGCGTCGTGGGTCCAACAAAAAGGTACGCGAGGGTGTATTTTCCTCGCCATTCCTACGTGATTGAGGTGAAGCGGCAAAAGGGTAAGCAACAGCCAAAGCAGCAAGATCCTGATGACCGACCCAAGCCAAGAATCATCACGTCAAACTCCGATTCAGGTGGGGTCAGGCCGAGGAACGTACACAAAGACGTTAATTTTAATGTGTGCTTTGAGTCTGGAATCGTTGTACTCGAGACCTTTTTTGGAGGGTGTACGGCGTTGAATGCGCGCTTTTCCGGCCGAGGTTTGGCTGTCAGCGGATTTGGCCTTGGGAGGCTTGGAGGGGCTACTACGAGACGGCGCTTGATGGTTTCCAAGACTGCCTTTGCGGGACGCATGACGGCCCGGGCGTTGACCCGCACTGGGAGCCGGGCCTGGAGAAGCATTGGAGGAGGCCGGAGACGAGTTTCGAGGCGAGCGAGTGGGAGGCTGTTGAGATTTAGACCCGACCTTGGAGGTGGGTGTCGTATGCGCGCCGTTGGAGGAGCGCGGCGACATGGTGGCATCAGAGACTCGCGCACGGCGACCCGGGGAATGAGCCCGATCGACTGGAGGGTGGGGTGCCTCCATGTGAGCGGTGCTGGCTTCTGGGGACTTGGCTTTGGGTTGCACGGGCGTGTCATTGTGGGCAGCTGAAGTGCGGGGGCTCTGCTTTACGACAGCAGACGCCGGAGCCTCGTCGTGGTCTGGGGATGCAGCGGGAGAGGGGTGTTTAGCAGGATGCTTGGCGTCTGCGGGGTCATCATGATTGTTTTGTTGTGCGCCAGGAGCGCGATTGTCTTTCTGGTGCTGAGGACCAGGGCTCGGGCTGCGGCTGGCCAAGCGCTCGTCCTTGGTTGCGGACCCAGGTGGCTTGATGACGGGTCGGTCAGGGGTGTCCACGCCTTCGTCTTCTTCTGATAAAGGTTTGGCAAATGTGCCTTCCCGCTCGAGTCCCTCGGGCATGGTAGTGTTAACACGGACCAGCGAGTTTCAAAGGGACGAGCGCGGAAGAACCGAGTAGTTGGCGTCCGTGCCGCCGCTGTGCGTTGAAAGACCCTCTGCGTCGAGGGCAGCCACGTTTGAGGGCAGTGCAATTGGCCCCACGCAATCAGGGCTGAGTGGCAGCTCCCCTATGCGGAAGATGAGAGAAGAGTGAGGCGGGTCAGCGCGGCGAAGCTCGGTGTATGAATAAAAAAAAAAATAAAAAAAAAAGCAAGAGCGCGGGTGACGAGCGCCCCTTTGATCCAAGGATACATGCATGACTTGATCCATCCCATGAAGCACATCCATTCACACAAGACACAAACTCCCACGAAAAGCGGGGCGGGGCTTTAGCGTCCCGCCGCCCGTAGCAGGTCGCGCAGACGCCCGTCGCCGCTGCGTGAGGGCGGTGCACCTGCTCGTCTACGTTTTCCCTAAACTTTGCTGCATCAACTTGCCTAGATTACCTTTTCAGAGCAGCAATAAGTCTGATTTCTTCTACGTTTGTGAAGAAAAAGTGTTGGGTTTGATGATTTTTGATGACAAGCTAGCCAAACTGTTGTGTTGTGTGTTCTCTCTCTCTCTCTCTCTCTCTCTCTCTCTCTCTCTCTCTCTCTTTTCCTCTCTATGTTTTCACCCCATGCACTTGCCATCTCTGATCAGCTTTACACTTTGCCTTTCAGATGGGTAGATGGGTGCCTCAGAAGACTTGAATCTCTGCTCAAACCCGACGCAAAGTGTTTTTTTTTTTGTTTCTTCGTTTCTTTGTTGTCAAGCGATTTCGCTTTGTTGTCACACACACACACACACACACACTCACACACACACGCGGTGTGTGTGAGCTGCGAGCACGACTAGTTGGGATAGTCGAGGAGGCCGGCTTGGCGAAGACTGGTGATTTGATCACGTAGCGTTTGCTCCAGAGGGATGTAATCGGTAAGTTTCAGATCGCGGGCGGCCTTGCCTGCATCGATCAAAAACGCTTGGCGCTTTTCAGTAGGCTAACGATTAGGAGAAAGTGCAAATCAGTCAGGTGAGGTCGTTGCTTTGGCCACATGAGAACGAGGCATGTCATGTAGCATGCATTGTCCCACCGGTTCGGTGACAATGGCCGAGTTGGGCTCGAGGGTTTTGAGGAGTTGGGCCACCTCCAAATGAGTTGGCACGCCGGACGTGACCAGATAGCGACCTGAGAGTGCCCATCAAGCAAACAAATACAATGAGCTGAGACGTGACACAAAGTCGGGGGGTGGTCTTTGCCAATAGACCGCACCGTTTGCTTCGGGCGTTTCACCCGCCAGAATGTGGGCCCGGGCCAGATCACGGACATCAATGTAGCCGATTCCACCGGCCGGGACAGCCTTGATTTCACCTGCACACAGATTGAGTAGCGTTCCAGCAGACGGAGATGGTTCAAACAACACGCGCTCCACCCGCCATCTCGACCACAGTGCAACAAAAAAAAAAAAAAAAAAAAACATTTATTGATGCCAGCAGCATGCTGACCAGTTAGCTTTTCCTTGATGATCATGCTGCTTTCGTTGGGTCGCGTGTAACCGGGCAGCCAGGGGCCAATGACCATGGGTGGGTTGAGTGTGACCACGTCAAACTGGACGTCAGGATTCTCGACAAACGCCCAGGCTGCCCGCTCCGCCTGAATTTTGGAAGCCCGGTACCTGCCCAGCACGCCACAAAGCAGGCATGGGAGGAGATGACAATCAACAGCGATATGCATGCAAAACAACAGATGGCGATGCAGAGGGGCGGGAAGGTCTGACCAGTGCATTGGTTCTGGATGCTCGGCCGTCGAGACTTGGTTCCAGTCGGCTTCGGTAAACGGAGATGGATCCTTCTCCATGTCATGGCCAAAAAGAACGGCGGCAAACGAAGAGGTCACAACGACTCGCTTCACAGAGGGTGCTTTGGCACAGGCCCTATATTGACCCCCAGACTACAGGAGTGAGACTCAGCCTCATCACACCCCAGATGGTGGGCCAAGAGGAAGCGGGAAGGGCAAGCGCCAAAGCGAGTTGGACGTACGACAGCACGTTGCGAGTACCCTGTACCGCTGGGACGATCAAGTCATCCGGTTTGTCCACCTGACGAAAGAAAGGGCTGTGGCCCGAGTACAAGAGCAAGTGTGGATGCGTTAGCCCTCGTCCGTTTTGTTTCTAACAATGGGTCAGTCAAGCCTCATGGGCAAGCAGGTTTAGCAGCACCTGGCTGTGTGATAGACAATTTCGCAGTCCTGCGCGGCCGCATCAAAAGAACCGGGCTGAAGCAAATCGGCCTCAATCAGCTCCAGGCGCTCCGTGGCACCCGGCAGCTGCTGCAGATAGCCAACTGCATCCGTCTTGGCCAGGGAGCGAACCGTCCCGCGCACCGTGTGGCCTGCTCACAAGCACGAGCAAATGAGGCCAACCAGCGCCCGTACCATCCAGTTGACGCGTTAGAGGTGCTGTTCAGTGGTGTCACACCTTTGGCCAGCAGCTGCTGAACCAGATGGCCGGCAATGTAGCCGCTAGCTCCGGTCACCAAAACCTTCATCGTTGCAATCTACCGGTTGACCCAAGAACCAAGTGAGCACCATCACAATATGATGATGATGATGATGATGATGATGCTGAGGGATAAGATACAGCATCAGCCATCCCACGACCCCGACCCAGGCCTCCCACCACCAACCAACAAGGGGTCGTGAGTAGTCGTGTATCATCCACCGCGCAGCAACGCCCACTGAGCGACTTGAAACGCCGGCGGTCCCCCCGTGCACACACTGACCTTGACTTGTACGCGAAAGAGAGAGAGAGAAGAAAAAAAGCGTGACAATATTATCACAATCATCACTGTGTTCGCATTCTGTATAAATGTCAGCCAAAAGGTGTCGCCCCGCCCACCCGTCACATTTGGTCCGACCCCTCCCCCCTCCCTCCTCCTCCCCCTCCTCCTCCTCCTCCTCCTCGCTCTCCCTCTCCTCGCTCTCCTTCTCCCTCCTTCTCCCTCCTTCTCCTCCTTCTCCTCCTTTTCCTCCCTCTTCTCATCCTCCTTCTCCTCCTTCTCCTCCTTTTCCTCCCTCTTCTCATCCTCCTTCTCATCCTCCTTCCCCCTCTCCTCCTTTCCTGCCTTTCACACACACACACACACACCGATCGGCGGGATGGCTGGGTCCAGCGCTCTGCCGACAGAGCGGACGGGTGTGAGCGCAAGCTTCTTGCGCAGGCTCAAGGCCGCCACTACACCCACCATGTCCACGTCCGAGGCCTGCGATCAAGTCATCAAGCCGGCTTGCCTCGAACAACGCTGTGCCTACACTGACCTGTTCCGCGATGAGCTGGGCGAGGACGAACGGCCCTTGGTGGGGCCAGCCACCGTCTTTGTCTCCCATGCCTGGCAATATCATCTTCACGACACGATCGATGTCATGCTCGATTACGAAATGGACTCGCCCGACAGCTACTACTGGTTTGATCTCGTTGTCAACAACCAGATCATTTGCCCCGGATCGCCCCTA